GAGCTCATTGTAAAGCAAAATTATCAGAAAGCGAATCAATTTTCCCCATAAGAAATAATGGAAATCAAATTAATCTGTGCAAGACACCCAAAAGTATAAAAAAAAAAAAATAAGCTTTTACCTCATGAAATTTTAAGTTTTAAACACTGGCACACACGGGGCAGTTCAGGCCACATCGTGGACACGTCTCGTACGAATCGTATCACATACCGGGTTTTGCAACGGGAACCGAGGCAAATTTTTTGCGATATAATGCTTCGGATACTGGATTTATCGGATACCGATGACTTCGCGAACCGGGGGTCCACTGTAATCCGTTCCAGTGGAATTCTGTACTTCAATAATTTCGCTAATATCAACTCTATGGCTTATTTATCTATCTCACTTCATCTAATATGACATAATAAACAATATAAATAACATGGAAACCTGATACATGTATATACTCTAAAATAAATAAAATATGTCATTCATGTAGTGGTACGGGCAGTGCCGGCGGTGGACGAGAGTTTGTCTGGAGACCGGGCAAAATACTTCATGAATAATTTCGCTAAAATCATCTATACGGCTTATTTATTTATCACAGTTCATCTAATATGACATAACAAACAATATAAATAACATAGAAATATAATATATACTCTAGAATGAATAAGAAATATAATATATACTCTAGAATGAATAAAATATGTCATTATGTAACAGGTGGAGGCGGTCACAACCGCTCCTTCTTTGTTGTGGTAAACACTGCCATCTAGTGACAACCTTTTGAAGCCGTCTATTATTATAAATTATTATAATGTAGTAAAATTATTATTATGTAGGTATGTATTATAACATCTTATTATTATGAATGATCATTATTGTATTATATTATTGTACTATTATTATTATACGTATTATTATTGTACATATTATTATTATTATTATATAAATAATTTGTAATTTTTATTCACACAAAAAATATAAGTTTTACTGTTATTCCTTATTGCAATAATTGTATAAATAATGTCAACCCATTCACGACTGCATATTGGAATGGACAGTGACGTCATTTGTTTACTCTGAAACAGCCAAGCAATGGACCATTTCTCCTAGGTTGAGCTCTATTTCAAGGTACTTTTCGTCATGAAAGCAATCAAAATCATGTCTATTTCTGTAATATGTCTTCCATTCGTTCAAATGAGACCATAAAAACCATACGAAAATACCGCCAAGGGGTGGCTAATTGCTGAGAAGTGAACTCCATTATTTATGCTTAGATTTCTTTCATTTTTGGTGTACATTAAGAAGCATCTTTCCATCATACATTGCCCAAGTTTCAATAAGATAGTCCAACAAACAAATGAGATACAATTCCCGAGATCAAGAGCAAGAGCCCCTCACCAGTGTCAAGGAACCTGCCTTGAGGTCTGCTCACTTGTGGAAATTTTGCTTGTGTATGGAAGCAAAAAATCGACCCATCGACTGCTCGTATTTGGAAAAACTCGCACGTGGACACACTCGCAAGTAGAGGTTCCACTGTAGTCAGTCAACTATTTTATATACTCAAGAAAGCACTTGAATATTAAAATTGACTAAGAAAACACCCAGGGATGTATTCTCAATAGCCAGTGAACTATTTTATATAATCAAGTGAAAGTTGTTGATTATTAAAATTTACTAAGAAAACACCCAGAGATTTATTCTCAGTAGTCAGTCAACTATTTTATATAGTCAAGAATGCACTTGAATATTAAAATTTCCTAAGAAAACACCCAGGGATATATTCTCAATAGCCGAGTACCGAGTAACCAATTATCTTTTTGGTTAGGCCCCGTTGTGACTTATTTAAACAAATAATACAGCCTCTCCTCATTTAGCGATGTTCTCATTTACCGATGCCTTGGACTTATGACGGACTCTCTGCCCTGTATTCACACCATAATAATATATATTAGAGCTCATTTCCTCTATTCTGATTATTACGATATACAGTGCACTACTGTATAAACATTTAAATATATACCAGAAATATTATAAATGGTGCAAAGGTGACATTAAAGCAGAATGAAGAAAATCAGCTCTAATATACACCTACCATCCGACTTACGACCTGCTCGACTTACGACCACTCTGACTTACGACCGTGTTTTTTATGCCAAATTTCTGGGAATTAAACAACTATTTGTGTTGTACACAGTGTTTATCCTAAACCTTACAGTATAAAATACAGTACTAACAACATAAAAAGTAAAGTAAAACATGAAATACCAAAATAAAACAATAAAATAAAGTCATTACAAAAATGTTTTATTGATACTCAGTAGTAAAGTTCGACTTACGACCATTTCAACTTACGACCGGTTTCTCGGAACCGAACTCGGTCCTAAGTCGGATGGTAGGTGTATATTATTTAGGTATGAATACTGGGCAGAGAGCCTGTCATGTAGTGTTAATGTGTAGTGAGTGTTGTATAATGTTGTTGATGTGTAGTGGATGGTTGAGAATAGTTGCATGTGTGGGGCTCTGAAGTTTCTGGCAATAAGTGAAATGTGGTGTACAATGGCAGTTTGTAGTGCCAGCAGCCCCTATTCTCTCGTACCGCATCATACTTCTATTTTTAATCATTGTTTATCTCGTTTCAACAAAAAATAAAAATAAAAAATTCGCTTTTAAATACATTGAAAACAATGTACAACAGACTTTTCCTGTAATTTTCAGTTGCAAATTATTTTAATGTAAGGCTGATGAAGTATGTAATGTAGTATGTAATAATAATCACTCTTGGGCACATTAAATGTCTTATTTTTATTTGTTACTTCTCCCTTCGTTTATGATGGCATCTAAAGGTAGTTGTTAGAAACTATTAAACTCAGTGAACAAGGTATGTTGACGGTAATAATATAACTCTGGGCTGCATTAACCCTTTGATTGTTTTGGTCGTATATATACGTCTTATGAGCAACCGTTTTTGACGTATATATACTCATAAATTCATGCGGCTTCAAATCAAGCAGGAGAAAGCTGGTAGGCCCACATGTGAGAGAATGGGTCTGTGTGATCAGTGTGCACCATATAAAAAAAATCCTACAGCACGCAGTGCATAATGAGAAAAGGAATCTACGACCATTTTTTTAATGAAAATGCCGATTTTGTGGTCTATTTTTGTATAGTATTTATGGTTGTATTCTCATTTTCTTGGTCTCATTCGATAGAATGGAAAACATATTATAGAAATAGAGGTGATTTTGATTGGTATTACTATGAAAAGAACCTTGAAATGGAGCTCAAAGTAGGGGAAATGTTTGATTTTTGCCGATGTTCAAAAATAAACAAATGATGTCATTTTCCAATAAATGTCCAAGTGGCCATTCTAATATGCAGTCATGAATGGGTTGACATTATTTATACAATTACTATTACAATATTGCAGTTGTCTGCATAACAGTAAATCTTTTATTTTTTGTTTGAATAAAAATTCAGAATAGAAAGCAAGAGTAATGTCAGAGGGGCCTGGAGATGTGACTTATTTATTTTAGAGCCAGGAATGTCTGCATTGTTCATTCTGGACCTTATTTTGAAATTGTCATATTTTTTAATTTTCGTGAAATTGGCCAAATTGCAAATTTCTGACCACGTTATTGGGGGGTTGAAATCGGTAAATGGGCAGTTTCTTGTACTCAATCGATAGAAAAAATGGAGTTCTAAAGAAATAGCTATGAGTTTGGTCGGCTGGAACAATGGAATTAGCCAAAAATAGGGCTCAAAGTGGGCGAAATCGCCGATTTGTAAATATCGGTGCGGTCTCTAAATTTGCGAGAGCGTAATTCCATCAGTTTTCCATCAAATTTTGTTCTTTTGGTGTCATTACAATCGTGAAAAGATTCTCTATCATTTCATAAGAAAAAACAATTTTTTTTTTGGAAATTTTGCGGCGCCAGGAGACACCTCAGGATTTGGGGTTGCGACAGTCAAGGGGTTAAATATTGTATAGCTATGTAGGTAGGTGCCGCTATGTAGCCGTTGGACTACATAGCTACATCTACTGGCTACCTACACCTGACTTCCTACAAATAAATACCACTCACCTCTCATCAATTCAATTCAATTCAAGTTTATTCTCTATAAGGGTTACAATGTGGGGTTTACAGGTTTTGGGTATTGTGTGGTTTACATGTTATAAAATACTAATTACAGAGGGGGCCACTAGGACACCTAGCATGGCTAGGCATTTCGAGCAGACTTAGATTAAATCTTAACATTAAATCCTTACAGATTATGGTATTAAGGCTAAGTGACTACATCATAATTTGTGAGTTTAGCAATGTGAATGCTTTTGTTTTGGCACAATACAAGGTGTCTATATTGGAGTATCATAGGCAAACTTATGACTAGTTAGGATTTATTATTTTAAGATTAGTATTTCTGGGTTTATAGTCAGTGGGTGAGTGAGTGTAATTGTGAACCACCAGGTGGTTATCATGTAGTTAGTTGTCTTGCATTAAGACTACAAATATTTTAAGATAAGTAATGAATGTATGTATTTTACTTTTTATTGTACTTTTTTAATGCCTAGTTCTATCATTAACTTAATATAAGTTAGTGTAAACTTGTTGTCTGGCACTTATATGCATTTTTAAGTGGAAAAAATGGCGTTCCTCTTTAAGGCGGTAACCTGCCGTATAAATGGGGCCCTACTGTATAGGGCTTGCTACTATCCATGGTTTCGGTATCTACGGCAGGTCCTTGGAACATATCCCCTATGGGGGTCCTACTGTATATACATATACGTATAATATACACACAGTCATGCTCACATGCATGCACCCCCCCCCCCATGTTTACTAAAGCCAGAATTGTATGTTGAGCTATTAGATGGATATTAAAGAAAAACAAGCAGGTAAAGACTTGAAGTTGTTTAGGGTGTAAATGAGCTAATAACTGTAAAAAATCTACCTGCACAGTAAGTGAAAGAAGCCAGCTTCATGGATTTACTTAACAATTTGACTTTCTTACAGACACCAGAAGTAAACAGCTTAGCATATGACTCAGTGAGAGGTCTTGTTTATGCAGCGTGTGGTGACTGGCGCACTCATGTATATGACCTGGAAACCGGCAAACGTGCACACACGCTGGAAGGCCATGATGACTATGTGCATGATGTGGTTACCAGGTGTGGCTGATTTTGGTGTTTTAATCTTTAGCTAGCTTATGCAAATAATAATTTATTTTCTTCCCCAGCTCTTGACTAATATTTTAACAAAATATTGAACAATGAAGGTAACTGAACTGTACCAAGAAAACTGGGTTAAGTGAACATGTCATTCAAGTTTTGTGTACCTAACTGCACTATATACAGGACAGTTTAAGTAGAAAAAAATTCAAATACATTTAATATACAGTGGAACCTCAGTTTTCGTATGCCCTAGTTTTTGTACGATTCGGTTTTCGAAGACTTTTTTCCTCAAAATTTTGTTCCAGTTTTCGTACATCCGCTCGGTTTTTGTACAGTTGAAAATAGTCTGTACCAAACTCGTCTGCCTGCCACTCATTTCCCAGAAACGAGCACCCACTCAAAGCATCCCATGCGTTCGTGACTCAGTCTGCCTTTCTTTTTCGTTGAGTGAGCTTCACCCTACGCGTTCTTCCGAAACATTTCATAATAATCCATTGTTTTTTGTGCTTGTTATTAAGTGTGACTGCTAAACAAGCCACCATGGGTCCAAAGAAAGTTCTAAGTGCCAGCCCTTTGATAAAGAAGGCGAGAAACACGATAGAATTCAAGAAAGAACTCGTAGCAAAGTACGAAAGCGGTATACACATGGCTGATCTTGCCAGGATGTATGGGAAGTCCGCAACGATGATTAGTTCCATCCTGGCGTAGAAAAAAGAAATCAGGAAAGCTGATGTGAACAGGGTAAATGTGTTTGGCCCAATTGTGAAGAAATACCTCCTGGAAAATCAGCTGCCACTCAAGTGCCTCCTGGTAATGAACAATGCTCCTGCTCATCCTCCAGGTTTGGAAGACCAATTGTTGGAGTTTAATTTCATCACAGTGAAGTTCTTGCCACCTAATACCACTCCTCTCATCCAGCCCATGGACCAGCACGTCATTTCAAACTTAAAAAAAATCTACACCAAAGCACTGTTTCAAAGGTGCTTTGAAGTGACCTCGGACACTGAATTGACCCCAAGAGAGTTCTGGAGGAATCATTTCAGTATCCTCAATTGCATAAGCCTTATAGATAAGGCTTGGCAGGGAGTGACTTCCAGGACGATGAACTCTGCTTGGAGAAAATTGTGGCCAGAATGTGTCCTTGAGAAGGATTTTGAAGGGTTTAAAGCTGACCCTGACAACCCTATGCATGTTGTTTTCTGTATGTAAAGGTTTGAGGTTGACCCTGACAACCCTATGCCTCATTGTTTTCTGTATGTAAAACTATAGTTATTCTCTATGAAATGCATTTTTGTTAATATTTTTGGGTGTCTGGAACGGATTAATTGATTTCAATTTTTTATGGGAAATATTACTTCAGTTTTCGTACTATTCGGTTTTTGTAAGACTTTTTCGAACGGATTAATCATGAAAAACCGAGGTTCCACTGTACCATCTAGACACAGCAGTGGCCATCCATCTGTCTAACAATTAAAGTGTCAGTGTAATGTCTCAGCCTGAAACAAACCTCACTGGACGTGTTTTTAGTGAGACAGAACCAGTGAGCCAGGTAAAAAAGAGACAAAGAAGAGAAACAACATTAGCTCTCCTCTGATAGGTAAGGGGCAGTTAAATTTTCATTTTCTGTACAGTATTTCCGTTAAATTTTCATTTAGTATTCATTGTTACAGTTTCCCTGTGCTGTATAATTTTATACATTGTTTTACATAGTAGTTGGTACATTATTAATATATTATTATATTATCATTTGGGGGTCTGAAATGGATTCTATTTACACTATTCTTTATGGGAAAAATTGCTTTGGTTGTCGAATCAGCACCTGGAATGAATTAAATTTGAAAGCCAAGGTTCCACTGTAACTGCATTTATTGCTTTTTGCAGTACTGTCAGTATCTCAAACCATTACATACAGATAGCTTAGCATTATTGCAGAAGTATATTTTTCTTTTATCTTCTCTTACCAGTGGTAACCTCGTTGCTAGCAGCAGTGAAGATGGTCAGGTGTTTGTGTGGGACCTTCGAGCAGGAAGAGAACCACGACACAAATTGGCACCTTATACCCAGGATCAGTTGGCTAGACCACATCTTGGAAGATTTATTGCATCTCTTGATCTTTACAATGACTGGCTTGTAAGAATATAATGTAAATTGTGCTTCCTGTGAAATATATTTTTTTTGTCTTTGCTCAGTTGTAGTACAGTGTCAGCAGCTTCTCCATATGTCTTTAACCCTTTCAGCGTCTGTGCAGTAGATCTACAGCTTTACGTTGAGGTCCAAACCGTAGAACTACGCCAAAATTCTAGAGGCGTCAGATTTAGCGCGAGAAGGCTGGTAGGCCTACATCTAAGAGAATGGGTCTGCATGGTGTGTGTGTGCACCATAAACAAAAATTCTTGGCGCCCGCATGGCATTGTGGGAATGCCGCCTCGGTAAGCTTTGTTAACCATGCGTCGCGGCAAGGCAGCTCTCACTCTGAGGCGAAATGGGACTCTCCTCTTCCTAACTGATAGTTCTGACTCTGATGGAAGTGGAAAAGAAGAAGAATTCTATGGCTTTCATTGATTAGTGACTTAAAGCAATGACCAGGGTATCAAAAATAATGCAGAAAATCCTGATGATCCTCAACCTTCTACCTCTGGTGTGGGCACATCTCAGTCACGTTCAGTTGTACCTCGTCGCAAGAGAAAACTAATATTTTCGCGTGGCCAGGCCTCAGACTTCAATAATGATGATGATAGTGATATGGACTGTGATTTTATTGCTCTTGATAATGATTTGAGTAGTGATAGCGATGAATCATATTCACAAGTGAAACATCGGTATATACGCCGCCACATGCGCTCGGGTAGTGTTCCCTATGCAGTGTCCAGGGGACGGAGTACATCCCGGAGTACATCCCGGAGTGCATCCCGGAGTGCATCCCGGAGTGCATCCCGTGGACCCTACACCAGGAATAGACAGTGAAAGTGAGGATGATGTGGCTACACTTGGCATGGATAGACCACTGGCATCAGTAGGTGGTGATAGTGGTGGTGGTGGTAGTGACACGGCCATGCATGACTCACCAGCCCAAGGCTGGGACCCACGCCGCTGACTTGTCAGATCAGGGACAAAACAGAGCGTCATCTGCCACCACACCACAACTACAACTACAACCACAACCAGCTTATGATGTCCAGTATCCACCAGCAAACTGCATCTGGGATTGGCAGCAAAATTCCAATTTTGTTCCCACTCCCCATCAGTTTGACGACTCTCAAAGTGGAATACTACCAGCTTGTTCCCTTGGAAACAGTGCAAATGAACTGGAATTCTTTGAACTATTCGGTCCAAGTCAGACCGAAACGTCGTCATAAGCTTCTCTCTTTTATGTGCGGGTTATTTGTGTATTGTTATTTATCTTTGAACTATTCTTTGACCAGCCTTGATGGAAATTATTGTCAGGGAAAGTAACAAGTATTTTGAGTACACAATGGCAGATACGATCATATCACAACAGTAAAGACTACACCGGTGAAAGAGACAACTGTGGCTGAAATGTACGTATTTGCTTTTTGCACAGATCGGCTAATTTGTACCCCAGCCTTCAGTGAAATCATCCCAGAGAACAGGTTTATCTTACTGTTCTGTATGTTGCACTTCTCTGACAAAACCAGGCTTGACAGAAGTGACAGGTTATACAAGATTAGAAATGTTTTTATGTATCTGAAACAAAAGTTCAACATGTACTTTTATCCATTCAAGATTCTTGTAATTGGTCAGTCTTTGATTTTGTTCAAAGGTAGACTGTCGTTCAAGCAGTATATACTGAGCAAGAGGAAACACTTTGGTATAAAACTGTTTGTACTCTGTGACTGTGACAGTGGCCTGGTATTGGATATTATTGTATACACGGGAAGTAAAACATTGAAAGATACCAGGATGTTATTGAGTATCTTAGGTGATGTAGTGAGAAACATGATGGCACCTTATCTTGGTAAGGGGCATACATTATATATATTGATAACTGGTACACAAGACCTTTACTCAGTGATTTCTTGCGAGTGAACAAGACAGATGTGTGTGGCACAGTGTGTTCTAATCGTAAACAAAATATTTGGGAATCCCCTTTGACCCATGCATGTCAGGAGAATTGATAGGGAACAGTGTAGTAAAGAAAGCGAATGCCAGACTGAAGTTCCTGTATAGACAAGCACAGTGTCTACCTACTGAGGCTCGCAGGACCCTATGTCTAGCCCTTATACAATGCCATATGGATTACGCTTGCTCTTCTTGGTACTCTGCCTTGACAAAAAAACTGAAAGATAGACTGCAAATCATCCAGAACAAAATCATAAGATTCATCCTGGGGCTGGGACCAAGAGAACATGTAGGCCAGGATGAATTACAGCAGTTGGATATGCTGAATGTTGAAGACAGAGTAAAACAACTGAAGCTAAATCATGTTTATAAAATTGCTCACAAACAATGTCCAGAATATCTTGCTGTCAATTTTGTCAAGGTTGGGAACCGCAGCAATCATAGTACTAGGGGGAGAGAGCACAACTTTGTAGTACCCACAGTCAGTGGCCAGGCTTCAAACACCTTTTATTGTACAGCAATAAAGGAATGGAACAGACTACCCGCACATGTCAAAGCCAGTCATAGCATGAACCAGTTCAAGAAGAGTGCCAAAAAGTGTCTGATGAATGTAGCTACAGAAAGGGAGGGGAATGATTTTCTATTTTTTAGCTAACATACGTGTAAATTTTACCGTATTCCTAGTAATGACCCTCGTATTGTAGATAGTCTTAATGACCTTCGTGTAGTAGATAGTCTTTTTAGTATGATAATAAGATGTTATCTTCATTGTAGAATAATAAGAAAATATTATAACCTTTATATTATAATAAGGTAAAAGGACCCCAATGGAAATAAGTCACTCTGTCTGATTTTTTGGGGTTATCCTAGGTTCTCTACACATATGCTGCTATGTATGATAATTCTATGTAACTGTATTTGTGTATACCTGAATAAACTTACTTACTTACCCAGGTTCAACACAGGCACTTGTGCTGGTGAGGTGCAGGTTTTTACTGCCAATGACATCATGGCATTACGGTGGCATGACAAACGAGATGTCACATTGTTGGCAACCATTCACCCTAACGAAATGAAAGACAGTGGCAAAGTTGATAGAGTGACTAATGAACATATTCAAAAACCAGTAACAGTGCTTGATTATACACAAAACATGCATTTGGTTGACAAATGTGGCATGTAGATTGGCTTTGTCGATTGTGTTCGTAAGAGTTACAAGTGGTACATGAAACTTTTCTTCCATTTCATGAACATTTCAATGCTTAATACATATAATATGTACCAAATAAAGACCGGCAACAGATCACCGTATGGTGAATTTTGTTTCTCTGTTGTTAGACAACTCATAATGAAGTATGTACCTGGTAACAACACCTGCTATACAAAACCATCCTCAAACTCCTCAGGAAATACCCAGGTGTTTGAGGAGGGAAGGTGATCACTTCCTAATACAGCTTCCTGCAACTAAGAAGAAATGGGCTCAGAAGAGATATGTTGTCTGTGCATAAATAAAACGATGGCAACAAAGACGCAAAGACACTCGGTTTATGTGTGAGGAATGTAAGGTACCTCTGTGCATGATACCTTGTTTCAAGGCCTTCCACAGGCTGCAGCAGTTCTAGAAACATGTCCAGTGACTGTATATATGTAAATATATAATAGAACATTAGTATTATGCAACATTTATGCATGTTTATTGTTGTAAACAATACTGGTAAACAATACAGTGGACCCCCGCATAGCGAACGCCTTGCATAGCGAACAATCCGCATAGCGAACGCTTTGTTCGCTGAAATTTTGCCCCGCATAGTAGACAAAAACCCGCTCAGCGAACTTCGTCCGAGACGCGTCCAATGTGGGCCCTCAGCCAGCCTCACATGTGCCGCCCGTCCCATTGTTTACCAGCTAGCCTCCGCGGTAACATTCAAGCATACACTCGGAATATTTCGTATTATTACAGTGTTTTCGGTGCTGTTTCTGGAAAATAAGTGACCATGGGCCCCAAGAAAGCTTCTAGTGCCAACCCTGTGGTAAAAAGGGTGAGAATTAGTATGGAAATTAAGAAAGATTTTGAAGGGTTTGGGGCTAACCCTGAGAAGCCTATGCCAGTTGTGGAATCCATTGTGCCTACTTCAAAAATTAAGGAAATGTGTGCACAGTGGGTTGAACTGCAAACCTTTATGGATGAAAATCACCCTGACACAGCTGTTGCAAGCCGTGCTGGTGACTATTTCAATGACAATGTTATGGCCCATTTTAGGAAAGTCTTGAAGGAACGGGAGGTACAGAGCTCTATGGACAGATTTGTTGTGCGACAGAGGTCCAGTGACTCTCAAGCTGGTCCTAGTGGCATTAAAAGAAGAAGGGAAGTAACCCCAGAAAAGGACTTGCTACCTCAAGTCCTAATGGAAGGGGATTCCCCTTCTAAACAGTAAGAAGATAATGCTCTCCCCTCCTCCCATCCCATCAATCATCACCAGATCTTCAATAAAAGTAAGTGTCATGTAATTGTGCATGCCTTTTTCAGTTTGTGTGTACTAAAATTAACATTTTTTTGTGGTAAAAAATTTTTTTTTTCATACTTTTGGGTGTCTTGCACGGATTAATTTTATTTCCATTATTTCTTATGGGGAAAATTAATTCGCATAGCGAACATTTCGCATAACGACCAGCCCTCTTGCACGGATTAAGTTCGCTATGCGGGGGTCCACTGTAGTATAATAATAACTGTAGTGCAGTTATTGTGTTCAAAACAATGAGTGTATATATATACATTATATACAGTATTGTTCTCACAGGCCACAAATGTTACTAGAAAAAGAAAAAAATTAGAAAAGAAAAAAGTATAAAAAACGTAAAATAAAGAAATGCGATTTTGTGGAAGTCGCTGATGTTGCCTCCACCCGGTCATCTTGGGTCAATTTCACTCCTCTATATTTCGGTAAGTACTGATCAGAATTTTTTTTTGTTTTATTACCTTCACAAAAATATTATAGTTAATTTTGTAAGTTTTTTTTTTTTTTCAAAATTTCTTGGACACTGGGGCACCC